TCTTGGATTTTAGTTTCAAAAGCAAATTCTGCCTTGACATTGTTGTTGTGTATTAAACCCATGGATCATGATTGTGCTGTATTTGGTAGTGGTGACCTGCATCTTAGTATATTATCCTTGACAATTAAGTGTAGATTGTGCGTGACGTGTGCATCTCATGGATCTACAATGTAAATTCCAGACCATTATTTATTTATTTATTTTACTTTAGATCCGCAGAAAGAAATCTATGAATGGTCAAGTTACTATGCAAGTGGATATATCAAGTTCTCATATCCCAGCTCTGGAGAAATTGGACATAGAGTTTATTAGGAAGGAGAAAATGCAAAGAGAAGTTCCACTTGCAGAGCAGATCAGAGCAGCCAGAAACAGGAGAACAGAATCCACAGCTATGGAGCTGCTGGTGGCCTCCTCTGCTAGTCGCTTGTCTAACATTAGCATTGAAGAGTAAGCCCTGAATTGCATGAGCCAACAAAATGTGTATAAAATGCTGCCTACTTTCTCTTCAGCTTATTTTTCACAAGTGTATGAAATACAGGATCAATTGCTTTGTCATGCAGAATGGCTTGTTTTAGTATCAAGGAGAATAAATCTCTGATTTGTTATCATGATGATTCACCAACTGCAGTAAATGTAGAGATCTCATTCTTTATTTTGTTTTAAAAAAACTTTTGGAAAATGTTTGATCAGGGGAGTGACTCAGACATCAACTGAGTGGAAAAAACAAGCTAAGGACTCGGTCCAAGTAATCTTGGAATCTTGTTCTGCTCCAGTAGGCCATACCTCATGTACCAATAAACCTTCCTCTATGGTTTTGGTGCTTCAAAATAATATCACTTGTATGTACACAGAAACTTGACATCAGCACAAGTTTTAACAAAAAGAAAAATATCATCAAAGTAATCACACTATCTATTAATTCATCAGCATTTTTTATCTTGGGTTATATGAGACAATCCTCTTCCATTCCTTAATTCCACTAACTTAAACTCAAGACCTCTTAATATCACTAGAAGTAAATTAACATTGAATTATTTAAATCGTTGGCATTAATTTATGAGCTTTTAAAATATCTTTAAAAGGATATATTTCAAAACTGATGACACCACAAACATGGGCAATATCAACCAGTACAAATCATCCTTTTGATAACGTGATCATGTTCTAACTGGAAATCAGAAAGATCTTCAACCTTAAAAGTGGCAGACCAAACAACACTTATAAATTTAACACAGAAAAGTAGTTAAGAATAACAGTACCAGATGCAAAAAAGTTTCCTCCTTAGCATATCTACATAGTATCAAAACTCTTTCTAACAAAACAAGTGCCTATTAATTCCCACCTGGCATGTTGCCCCCATCCCTGTTTGGAGGATAGTTGTTCTGGTAATGGGGAGTTGCTCCTTGGTAAAGCATGCCTCCTTGGTTAGGGCTGTTGGGAGAATAGTTGTTCTGGTAATTGGGTACTGCTCCTTGGTTAGGGTTGTTTTGGAAGTTCTGTATGTTACCAGACCAACCTTGATTTGGTGGCCTCCTTGGTTAGGGCTGTTGGGAGAATAGTTGTTCTGGTAATTGGGTACTGCTCCTTGGTTAGGGTTGTTTTGGAAGTTCTGTATGTTACCAGACCAACCTTGATTTGGTGGCAAGGGTGGCCTTGGCCCAAAGTGGTTGGGCTGCATTCCCCCCATATTCCCTTGTGGAATTCCTCCCATGTTGCCTTGCTGCATTCCTCCCATGTTGGGCCCCATGTTGTTGGGCTGCATGTTGGAAGGCATTTGCCCCATGTTGTTCGGGTGCATATTGGGAGGCATTCCACCCATGTTTGGAGAAGGTTGCATGCTTTGATTAGATGCAGGAGGCATCTGTCTGTTCTGGAAATCTCGGTTCTGCATGTTCTCCCTTCTTCTGTCAAAGTTTCTTGATCTGTCACTGTTACGAGGTCGGTCATTACGTCTATTCCTCTCATTTGCACGAGCATTGTTCCTTATCCATTCCTCATGGTACTTTGGGTCATATGGTACCGCTTTACCATCAATGAAAGGCTCACCTGTAAATTGGAGAGAATGTCATAAAAAAATAATCAAAACAAAGGGAATGTCCAATTCAATCAGAATAACAAACTTAATGAGCACAAAAACCTAATGCATTTTCTTCAATATAGAGATGTTACAATAAGCACGTATTACCGCCATAATCCTTGTTCTTCACATCCAAGTATGAATCAGGCAGAACCCACCTAACTTTGGGCAATTCTGAGAGAAGAAGAAACATCATGATAGATATCCAGAAAACTCACCCATTTAAACAATACTAGCAGTGGAAAACCATGAATGCCAAACATAAGAGAGTGCACACCTTTGATCTTATATGAAAACTCTTCAGATACAAGTGCCCCAAACGCATAATAGCATCTTGTTGAGACTGAATATATCTTCATCCTTGCTTCTTCCTCACTGTAAGTGGAAGATACAGAAAATACACTAATTATTAATTTCAAGTAATCAATTAACTTCCAAATCAATCACTGTATAACATGGCACTGCTAGATACCACTTAGCAGATGCCAAATAAATATAAGAAATAAGTTAACTCCTTACGTTAGGACAGGTAGAATATATTTCCATCAAATGGAACAAACTTAAAGTGACCTTTATAGTTTTCATTGTAAAATATTAGCACATATTTGCCACAAGAAGCTCTATTTTTATGTTAAAAAGACAGCTTCAATAAGATAAACAAAAATCTTCCCATCAAACACAAGCAGCACTCAAAGGAAAAATAACACCAAGCAGACTTACTAACTGGACACGAAAACTTGGACAATATTCTTTCAAATTACATCTCATATTTATGAGACTGAATCTGAAATCCTCCATATCACTGTTAACACAACCTCAACATGCATCTAAAAATCCTTCATATCAATGGTAATAAGGCCTCAACATACCGTATGACTCAGTAAATTACAGGGTCTCCACGAAGCCTCAGATGCTAGTGGAAAAAGTTTTGGAATTTCAAATTATAAATGAGAGGTTCAGACAATCACAAATATAAAAGTCACAATTTCATCGGCCTTAAAAAATTCTCCATAATTTAGAACAAGATTTATTGGGATACCCAAGATACATGTTCATATAATTACCTTCCCACAACCTGAGCTAGCGTCTTGATATAGCTATCAATGATCTCATCCCTGGTGGGATCCCCTTCGGGCTTCTCCATAACCACAAGCCAGTGCTCGAAATCGCACCCATCGAGCAAGATGGTCTCCTTAGGTGGCCTGTTGGACCAATTAGGGTTTGGGTCGTTCAGCGATGACGACGCAGCACGGGAAGAAAGGGTGCGCAACGCCGGACCGCCGAATCTCTGGGCGAAAGACACAGCAGAAAGAGGACGGAGGCGGTAGAGCAGAGAAAGGGAGAGGGACGAAGAGAGAGAAGGGGTTCTACAGAGAGAGGAAATGGAGGAGGAAGAGGCAGAGGAGAAAGATCGAGTAGAGGATAAAAAGGAAATTAGAGTTTTGGGTTTGGAGAGGAGAAAGCGAGCGACAGTGTGGTTCGCCATTGTCGTCTCGATCGTGGGGTTTCAGATTGCAGAAACCCTAACTATGGAGGAGAGTGAGAATTTAGGGTTTTACAGAGTCGGTTTCATAAAGGAGAGGTTTTAGGAACAAATTGAAATGGTTTATCTGGAAATTTATTTACGTGGTTGTACACCGGATCATCTCAACCGTTAATCTATTCAAATCTAACGGCTGGAAAAAAATCAATTCTCAATAATTAATTACTGTATCTTATTTTTCTCTTTCTTTTTCTTTTTTGCCATCATTTTTCTCTTTCCTTATGAAAGCTTGAAAATTTGATAACAATTAATTTAAAATTTTCTTTTTGTAAATTATGAGAGTAAAAAAGTTATTTTGCTGCAAATATCATGAGAAAAATTAGAAAAAAGCCTCTTTTTTTACTAAAATTTCTTAGGTCTTTTTAGTCCCTTATTGTTTTGAAACTTGAAACTTTGTAAAATGGAACAGTTACAATGTTTACACTTTTTTTCCTTTTTTTTTTTTTTTTTTTTGGAGAAAAAGATGGCTTATAAGAAAATGAAACAAGGCTTGATGATTTTATGTGCAACACAAATTCGAGATAAGAAATTCAAATACAAAATCTTATTTCATCCCTCAATCATTAGGTTTTGTTTATCTCTTTTAACAAATTTTATTACATATTTAATTGTACAAAAAAAAATAAAATAAGTACATCACACGTGTACTATGGAAAATTAGTGTACAAGTCATACCAAAGCACTAATTTAATATTCAAACTGAAGCCTAAGTAGTGTTTTGTTTAAGAAAAAAATAGATAAATAAAGAATGGGGAAATCTATGACTGATGTTCAATTGCATATAATCCAAATTGACAATTGGTCGGAACCTTAATGCAATTACGTGAGTTTTTTCTTCAACCAACCATTTGATGAAAGCTATAAGCTTGACACGGTAAGGCCACCACCAACACCAAACCCTTGTTAGTCAATTCTTAGCTCACCTGAAAAACTACATAACCCACAATTAATAATTGCATTTTCCTTCTTGGGGTTTTCTTCCAATTTTCCCAACTATATTCCAACCCCACCAATAGTCCCATTCTGCATGAAGAAAATTTCAACCAAGGAACCATTCCAAGACACAAGCCCAATGCCCCCAAAAACTACCTAAGCCCATGCGTTTATTAACTTCTAGATTGCAAACACTTAGTTTGGTGTGTTAGCTCATCTCCTCCCTCTTCTTATTATTCCTCACTTAGTTGATAATCCCACCAATCCTGTTCTTTCCCCCACTAGTTAGCTTTCTCCTCTCTTTTCTGTCCATGGAATTGCCTGTGAAGGCACCAGTCTCCGGTGACCGGAAGGCTAGTTCCTACAAGTTAGAAACCAAAAACTTGTGCTACAGATTATGCAGCAAGTTTGGTGGACATTTTAGTGGGGTGTCTTGTGGATGGACTTCAAAGGGAGCTCCTAAGTTCATTTTGAATGGGGTTACTTGTGAGGCAAGGCCAGGGGAAATTACAGCAATAGCAGGGCCAAGTGGGGCAGGGAAAACAACCTTGCTGGAGATTCTTGCTGGGAAGATTTCGCCGCAGAAAGTGGTAGGTCAAGTGCTTGTCAATGGCAGGCCTATAGATGCTAAGAGTTTCAGGAGAGTTTCTGGGTATGTCACACAGGATGATGCCCTATTTCCCTTGCTTACAGTTGAAGAAACGCTAATGTACAGTGCATTTCTGAGGCTGCCTGAAGGGAGAAGAGAGGCTATGTCCAGGGTGAAAGTGTTGATGAGGGAGCTTGGATTGGAGCATGTTGCGGGTTCAAGGATTGGGGAAGGATCAAATTGTGGGATTTCTGGTGGGGAGAGGCGCAGAGTTTCCATTGGAGTTGATCTAGTTCATGACCCTGCTGTCATTCTGATAGATGAACCAACTTCAGGTTTGGATTCCGCCTCAGCTCTTCATATTGTGACACTGCTTAAATCCATGGTGGTTAAACAAGGTAAAACTATAGTTCTAACCATCCACCAACCTGGTTTTCGAATCCTCGAGCTTTTTGATCGAATTGTTTTGCTTTCAAATGGATTTGATGTTCATAATGGATCACTGAATCTTCTTGAAGAAAGGCTAAAGCTTTCCGAGCATAGGATTCCTCCTCGGGTCAATGTGCTTGAATTTGCCATTGATGTCATACAAACCTTGGCCCTGCAAAAATCAGAATCTCTCCATAACCAATATTTTCAAGGGAAGAAAATCATCGAAGGCTGTACAATGAGGGTTGGACACAATATCAATCCTGAAAAAAAGCTTCTCCTCTACCCCAATTCCCAAGTGGAGGAGGTTTTGATACTGGGGCAAAGATTTTGCAGTAACATATTCAGAACCAAGCAACTTTTTGCCACAAGAGTGATACAGGCCTTAGTGGCAGGATTAGTACTTGGAACCATATATTTCAATGTTGGGAGTGATAAAGGAAGAATTGCTCTACAAACTCGAATCGGGTTTTTTGCCTTCAGCCTCACCTTCTTGCTGTCTTCCACCACAGAAGTCCTACCAATTTTCCTCCAGGAGAGAAGAATTCTAATGAGAGAGACATCCAGAGGTGCCTACAGAGTTTCCTCCTATGTCTTGGCCAATACCATCATCTTCCTTCCCTTTCTTTTGCTGGTTGGTCTCCTCTTCTCCACCCCAGTTTACTGGCTAGTTGGTTTGAGAAGGGAAAGTCATGGGTTTCTTTACTTCTATCTGGTAGTTTGGATGGTTCTTCTGATGTCAAATTCTTTTGTAGCATGTTTCAGTGCCCTGGTGCCAAACTTCATCATGGGGAACTCAGTGATTGCAGGGCTCATGGGATCTTTCTTTCTCTTTTCTGGGTATTTTATTTCCAAGGATAACATACCAACGTACTGGATTTTCATGCATTATTTGAGCTTGTTTAAGTACCCATTTGAGTGTTTTATGATAAATGAGTTTGGAGGACAGCAAGGGACAAGAAGGTGCATAGACTTTCAGAATGGGGAATGCAGTTTATATGGAAATGGGCTCCTATGGCAGCAGGACATAAAAGAATCACAGAAATGGAGCAATTTAGCTGTGATGTTGGGCTTCATAATTGGCTACAGAGTCCTTTGTTTACTAATTTTATCGTACAGATGCCATCGAACAAGAAACTAGATACATTACTCCATTTCCTTTTCACTTTCATCAATAGTTTTGAGCATATATTTTAGATATTTACTCATTTCTGGAGATAATCAAATTTATGTACTTTATTTGATTCATTCACACAGTAATTGTAGTCTATATTGGCACAAAATTCAAGTAAACCTGCAATCTTTTTCCTTCTTTGATAGTGCTTATTGATTACAATATTTAACACTGTTTCTAGTTCACATAAAAACAAAATTTCTCTCAGAAGACCTATGGAAGAATTTCTGAAAGCAGAGAACGAGAGAAGAAGAAGTTAGACCTCAGTCACTTCGGTCATCAATTGATGTAAAGGTCATGGTGGCAAATGATGTGTCCATATTTTCTGGTAATGAAGATAAGTTTAATCTGCTTGTGCCCTCAGAGATGGTATAGGATGAGTTCTTCATGTTTCCTTTTCTACCTTTGTCAGCTCTAAGAAACATGAAATCTGAAAGCAGGCCGGGTCTTGTTATCTCCTGGTTATTCAACTCTATATCACCGGCAAGCATCTTGACAACCTTAGACATGAGTGGCCGGAGTCTTGGCTTGTCTTGCGTGCAGATTAGGCCAATTTTCAGGTATCTCAGAGCTTCTTCAGCATTGTACTCCCCATTCAAGGATGTATCTGCCAATTCCATTAGCTTTCCGCTCTCATACAACTCCCATGCCTGCAGGTATGATAAATCTCCTAATCAAGGTCTCTCAGTTTTAAATATACTACCAAAGAGCCAAACTCAAAATAAATAAAGCATCTGGGCCAGTAGGGTATGGTACACGTTATTGGAGGTATTGAGTCATTAATCATGCAGGTAATCTGAAGAAAACCCATTGAACAATTAGGAAATTGAAAAAGATGGTGCCTCTTTGATCTTAAAGGTATTCATTAATGAAAAATGGAATCCATAAAATGGAAGGCATAACAACAGGAAAATGTAGCAGACGTCCATACCTTTTCAAGAAGATATTGCTCTGCAACAGGTAATCGCCTATCTGTGTGGCTTCTCCCACTCACAATTTCCAATAGTAGAACACCAAAACTATAAATATCTGCTTTCCTTGTCAGTTGAGCTTGTATAGCATACTCAGGTGCAAGATAACCTCTATGTCAATCAAATAAGAACAGAGAAATAAATTTACAACAACAAGGAGGAGTTGGTAAAACAGTTGAACTAATAATAAAGGAATTCTAGATCCAAAGGTCACTTGCAAAACAACAGTCACTACAGAACTTCTATCATGACATATCCTAATTAAAGCTCAAGCCCTGTGTAACATATTCTCAAAATGTTAGATTTCAATAGTTATTGAACCATGTTATGAAAGGCTTATTACCACCATTTTGGTAACCATATATGCCAATTACTCCAACTAAACAACGAAAAGTGAAACAGGATAAACTATGAGCTGTGCACATGAAAAAGAAAAGAAAAGAAAAGAAAAGAAAGATAGGATAAAATCTGATAAAGGCAACTTGCTAAAAGTCTACTTATTAAGTCAAAAAACATCATATGTGAAGACTGACCAATCAACCTGCACAGCGGACTAGGTGCATGGCACATGGAACATGGTTTGGTATATACTAAGACTGGAATAGTTAACTCTTCAAGGAGACCATAAAGCATCTGGTAGATGCTTAAATTTATTATAGAACCCTCAACATTAATTCCCTTTAATAAAAAGTAACTGGGAAATGAATATATCAATATAAGCATATGGTGGGAATTTAAGAACTCACACAGTTCCAGCAACACGTGTGCTGATATGTGTCAAGTCGTCTGGGAAAAGCTTTGCCAGACCAAAATCTGAAATTTTTGGCATGAGATTTTTATCAAGGAGGACATTGCTTGCTTTGATGTCTCTATGAATAATGCGTGGCCGAACTTCCTCATGAAGGAAAGCAAGCCCCTTTGCAACACCAATGCAGATATTACATCGTGTCTGCCAACTGAATTGGATATTGCTACGTCGTCCGCCTACAAGGACAAGAGGCATTTAGTTTAATTGATTCAATCAGTTAACAAAAGAGAAAAAAAAAATAATAATTACCAAGAAGTGTTTGGGTAAGGCTGTTATTCTCAAGATAACCATAGACCAAAATTCTGTGTTTGCCTTCTACACAACAGCCATACAACTTAACCAGGTTTTCATGCACTATATCTGCAATAATTTCTATTTCTGTCAAGAACTCCTTCACCCCTTGTTTAGAATCAGCCGACAGTACCTTTATGGCAGCCTCAGTTCCATCTCTTAAAGTTCCCTGTTCATTAAGGAAATTAATATTAGAAAAAGATGATAGTATAATTATATACTTAAACATACAGAGGTTTTTTGTTTCAGAAGATCTGAACAAACAAAATCTGAACTCACCCGATAGACAACACCAAAACCTCCTTCTCCAATTTTATTGGAGGGATGAAAATTTCCAGTTGCCACTTTAAGTTCTTTGTAAGTAAACAATGTAGTATTCTGAATGCCTGAAACCTCTGGAATGAATGAGTTAACATTAGGAACTCCTCTGTGGACATAAAACATACAAAAGGGAAGTCTTGCCAAAGGATGGCTGGACCCCTTTGTCCATGTGTGTGAATAAATACTCTTTTCTTCCAGCCATTTAAGAGTGCATAAGTTTGATAAAATCAGGAATTCAGAAAAGTTTAGTTCTTGATCATACCATATATTGGCTAATGTCATTGCTCAAGTTACAACTCTATCACCTGTACCTTAGTCAATTTCGTAAATCCAACCACAGATCCTAGTTTTATAGGAACCATATTCAATAGATAGGTAACATTTTTCATTCCTAAATGGGACAAAATTTGTCAAGTCATTTCGGCATACCTTCATCAATTTCTGTTGTTTGTGTAGCTGGAGGAGCTGACTTCTTTTTGAAAATTGCACGTAAACAAGTCATCACTGGTTATTGTTATGCAGCAGTGGTGTCAACTGAAATGAAACTTCCGACCTGTAAAAACATTTACATTTACAAACATTTCTCATCTTCTAGGCCAATGTATGTTAGTTGTTATACCAGTGTCATGATCAACCAGTAATTAAAACATCTAAAGATGGTAACAAATAACAAAAGTTAAATTTTCATACTAAATATGATGATAGTCTACAACAACTCTGTATATCATCCACAAGAACTTCTCACTTTTATTTATTAAGAACATTACCAGCTTTAAGAAATCTTATATCTCGAATTCATCCATTATTATGAAATGAAGGAAGAAACAGAAATCCAAATCTAAGCACTGAACATATTAGGCCAACAAGAACCCATGACATGATCTACACACTTCGAATTGCTAAAATTACTTCAAAAAAAAGAGAGGAAGAAGCAGAAACCCTTGATTTTCCTTCTTAAACAAATAATTCAAGAAAACTAGGGAAAAAAGAGAGTATATAAGAGAAGAAGCTGTGAATTCTTCAAGTTGAATACTTGAACACAAAGAAGCAAAGAAACCCACATGAAGATACCTAAAACAAGTTTCTTTCTCCAATTTTTTTTTTTTTTTCCTTCCCGTTTCCTTAATTTTCCCTGCAACCAAGCAAACAGGAAACCCACCTTATCAGAGACCAAGGGAAAGAAAGAGAAAAATGGATGCTAGTAGTTGTGGAATTTGGACCGCACAGATTTTTCCTGGGACTGGTGTGATGATGGAGAGACGTATTTGCCTAAAACTCGCTAGCCTGATTCCATTGGCTCTCGTGGAAGCTGAACATTGAAGAAGAAGGATGGTGGGGACTCGGATCGTATGAAGTATGAACAGAATAAGATGAAGAAATTTCAAAACCAATGCCCCAACTACTTTTCGTAGGATTCACTTTCCTGTTACCTCCGTCAATTTTCTGGTTCGTAAAGCCACCTCGGAATACCCTGGATTTCTGGATTGGACTGTTGAGGTGCGCTAATAATGGAGGGTAATTAATTTCTCTTTCGAAAAAGGATTATGTAATACAGTCTATTTTTATTAAAAGTATAATTTATTTTATACATTTATTAAAATATTTTAAATAAAATAATATAAAAAATAATTTTATTCAAAATATTTTATTTTATTTTATTTTTTTAAACAGTGAAAAACTTTTGTTTTTTTTCCGGGGAAGAGAGTTACCTGGGATTTGATCGAGGTCTCATTAGTCCTATGCACGTCCGTAAGTGGTGCCCAATAGCCACCATGTGCGAGACCAAAATATTTTAATATGTTTATAAAATAAATTATATTTTTAATGTACCATTTATTTTGTAAAATATATTTTTTTAATCACTACTGTAGAGTCCGTATGTTATGGCAGAAGCACGTTCAATGTTCAAATACAAAACAGGCATTATCAAAATGAGCTAAAATTTCTAATATATATTTTTTACTCTTTCTAACTTCTTTTTGAGTAAAAAAAAAGTTGTATAATTTATATTATATAACTTAAATTATTAAATTATGATAGGGTTTTTAATATTAAAGGTTGTTTCTATTAAATAATTTATGTTTTATAGATTAATGGTACATTTGAGATTATTGTAAAATATTATGGTTGTAATTGTAGTTATGATTGTAGTTGTATTGTATTATAACTGT